GGGGAAAAAAAAAAAAAAAAGAGGAAACTATGTTCAAAGTTAAACCAAAGCCTTGGCACTGGGGATTTTTCTTCATCTCAAACGACAGTGACTTGAATATTGATAGAGCATCAGTCTGTGTAACATCCTCCATGCATCACTCTGCCACAGCCTAAGAGAATGAAGTAGCTATGGTGACAGCACCTTTTTTCCATGGCCAAGTGCTATGCTCTGGGTTGGCAATACCAACCTCACCATCTGGAGAGCTTTATTACAGCAAGTGCCTCTTATTTATCCCTCCTTTTTAACACTTCTTCAAAGTTATGTTTGATCAACATTCACCACCAATGCCAAAGCTTTACATTTTGTATATGCCTAAAGTATGTACAAGATTCAGACAAATCTGAACAATCTGCTGAGCTGACCGAGGGTTCCCATCTGACCTGTAAAAGCAGTGCTTCTCTGGCTTGAATTTAAATTTTGTACAAAAATGCATGTAAAAGAAATCTGAAAACTTTTACTGTAAGTATTAGAGGCCAGTTATGCAACTAAGTTTGAATTTCAATCATAAACCTCAAGCATCTGGTATCCAATAGAAAGGCCCATTACCCTCATAGTTTAAAGAAGCATGTATCCAGAGGTGTCTTTTCATCCTGTAATTCCTACTATTACTAAACATTATACACAACATTGGAATCTATGCTGTGCTATGCAATGTATGATACAATGGAAGTTACAACTTAACAGGCACAAATGGGAAAAGTGTGACAGAACACAATAAAGGAGACAAAGGTGTAATTTTAGGCTAAAAAATACACTTCTGAAACCAAGGCCAGAGCTTCTTGAAAATGTTACTTAGACTTCCTGTTCTCTTAATCTCTGTATAGGTATGTATGTGTTTGTGCATGTACACATGTAAAGTACTTTACAATTAAATATACTAAGTACACATCCTCTAGTAAGAAATTTCTGGAATTAGGCTGGAATTCCTTGCCCAAACCTGACTCAGATTTGCAGCTCATTAATAAGTCATAGCTCACTATTTATAACCTTATGTCACGCAACTTTTATTCTATCTTCCTCAGTTCACTGTGGGTCTTGCAGCAAAAATGCGATAAAACCAAAACTATTTTCCCATTTCTTTCCAAAATACTAGATTTTTTTCCTTTCCCTTTTACTCCCCCTAAGTTCTTCTACTCCTTCCCCTAATTGAGCAGCAGCATCTTTTGGGTAATCTCTGGATTTTTCACCTCTGACCTCTTAAATGCCAACCACTTCTGATAAGTTCTGGACTTTTTTTTTTCTTTTTTTCTTTCTTTCATTAAAAGAAAAAGGCATTGTCTTAAAACAGAGTTTCAAGACAAAATGCAGTACGAGAAATTTTAATTCAAAATTATTTCTTAAAAGACATTGTTTCTGGTGTCTTCTCCTCCTAACTGCTGTAACAGTTGTAGTGGGGAGGTAAGACTCCAAAGAGAGACCCTTTCACTTTCAGGGCACCAAAATACACACTTTTTTCTGGCTTAAATCAACAATAGCAACCTGCTGATGTTCAGCACTTACTATTGACAAGCCCTAAAATCAAAATAGAGACCACTAAAAGTGTGAGTACTGGGAAAATAAGGAAAGATTTTTCCATGTTTTGGAAAAACAGGATCCATTAGAACTGAAAGTGTAAAGAGTAAAAAGAAGATTGATGTGATTCAGGGCCATCTAGCGAGCATCCTTAAGCTTGGCACCAGGACATGGCTGGTACAGTCCAAATGCTAGAAGCTTGCTGTGATGTGCTGCAATAGTGGAGCCTTAGCAGGTGTTACAGAAGTGCAGAAATTGTAAGGACAGACTGAGGAGATGTAACTGTGGAAACGAAAAATAGAGGATCAGGCCAAGAGCTGAACAACTCCTAAACTTCTGCGAAGTTTGCATTTGCCGCTCAGACTCATGTCTAGAAATATATATATATATATGCACTCTGCTTTTGAATAGCTGTTTGGCATCTATATTCATGTAGATTTTATTAGATACCTCAGTGAAACCTGATGTATTGTGCATAAATCTACACGCTTAGAAGATATACATCTATGCAAAAATCCATCAGAAAAGGGGTCTGACAACTGAAAATAAACACTTAAGATACGTGGAAAGTCTGAGGTTAGAACAGAAATACAACATGCTTTTTTTTAAAAAAAGAGTTTTTTTTAAAAAAAAAAAACAGAGATATAATGCATCTACAACTCACAGTTGTGGTGGTGGTAATCTCCTCCGTTACAACCTTCAGCGTATCGACCACTGAGATGTATCCCAGACGCCTTGCAATAGCTAAGGCAGTGTTACCATTCTGAAGAGCAAAAGAGAAGGAGAGGGAGAGAGGGAGAGACAGAAATGAGAGGGAGGATTGTGATGTGAACCAATGAGATCACTCTCAACACTGCATGAGCCAGCATTTCCATCCAAAACAAGGCACAGCCTAGGAAAATCACTGTTTTTTTTATCATTACATCTGACTCTGTCTTTGTAACTTCTTTAAGACTACAGCCCTGATTACCATGGCAACACAACACACTTACATCTGCCTGCTATTCTAAATAAAAAAAAAGTGCTGTATGCTTTAACCCTGAAGTAGCCAAATTCCACTGTGCAGAATTTGTCTTGCTTGCAGAAGCTGATGTTTTGTTTTGCATAAATGGCTTTAAATAAGGGGCATTCTTCTTAGAAAGTATTGAAAAATCTTACAGCTTGGCTTTCAGTGGTAATTGTTTAAACCTTTAGCAGATACAGTGTTCCTTTGAGGAATACAAAGTTATAGCCATAGTCACCAGATACACTTGTATCTGTCCTTACAACCAATATATTTACATAAGAAAAGTATACAAAAGCTAATAATATAACAAATGTTAAAACAACCTACATAAGCCTTATGGTTTTGAGATTATTTTCCACTTAAATGTTCAAATGCATATGACAAATGCACAGTACATCAACTGGACATTAAAATGATAATTTATTAATTATTTAGGACTATTTTTTCTCCTTCATTATCTGAAACATTAAAATAGTCTGAGAGACAGCTATTTGCATGCCTAATTTTATAAACTTAGCTTGCTACTGTAAATCAACAATGATTTACATCGCCATTTGTCTCACAGCATCTGCAATTCTACTCAAACTGCTGCAAAATATGGTCCACAGTAGCATAAGGCCACCCACCATAGGTAGCAAAATTAATGAACTTTCTTAATGAATAGAAGGAAAAAAAAAAGTAGTAGAAACTAGCTAAATCATGTAAGATTTATGAGGATACATCCTCCCTGCTGTGGGGAAAGTGTTCAGCCTAACTGACCTTGGAAGCAGCTTATATTTACTCGGCTCCACACAGTGTGACAGCCCATACTCCCCATGTCAGTGAACTTTGGGAGGGAAGGAAGGGTCACATGCCAAGGTTCTTTATAAGGAGCTGCAAGGTGAACCCTTTTGTTTTATTTAACTAAAAAATAAAGTGTTGGCAAGCTAGAGGAAGCCAATCCATGCCTCTGCAATGGAACGATTTGTCTTGTGACACCACTGTAGTGCGCAATCTGGGCTTTCCTCTACTTTACTTGTTTTCAGTCCTCTACAAAAACTAGCATTGGATTAATCTTCAACTGAAAATACCAAGTAAAGTATATGTATGCATAAGGTTCAATTAGCAAAGATGCTCTTCGAGAAGTCATTAGCATCAGTGAGCTTAGTAGGAACTTGCAACAGAGTTCCAGCAAACAGAGGGACAAGCACTTGGGTCCAAATCACAGAATGGTTGAGGTTGGGAGGGACCTCTAGAGATCATCTAGTCCAACCCCCTTGCTTCAGCAGGGTCACCTCTGCACATTCTGCTTCTTCCCATTGCAGACAAAATACTTGCTAATTTGGGCTTCTTTTTTCCGGCCTCTTTGCGTCGAGGCTCTTCCGTTGCTGAAGTGAGAAAGGTCTTCAAAGAAAGCCAAGTTCTGAATCAGGTCCCTATTTTTTATAAATATATATATATATTTTACATCTATAGACAGAAAAGTTGAGTCAGAAGGAACTGAACAAATACAGCACAACTAGCTGTGGCTAGCCTGCCGCTACAGCATAGAATTAAGTTCCCTCATTTCATGTTTAGTTTGTGCACAATGGGTTATAGTTGATCTGTGCTACCTTAAGAGGATAAAGAAAAGGAGAGGAAGTTACATTTGCACATATGACAACCAGCTGTACGAGAAATACTTTCACTAAAACACAGACTTCCTCTCAACCTCTAAAAAGGAAAGAAAAGAACCATCCAGGGAAGCAAGTCCCACAGGCACTTCACAGACTTACAGAGGTGATGGCATTGGGCTTGGCCCCGTGTTGGAGAAGAACATTGATGATGTGAGTGTGGCCTTGTTGAGCAGCTTGGTGCAGAGGGGTGTATCCATTCTGTTGTTGATGGTGGTTACCATAAAAGCAAACAAACAAGAACCACCAGCAATTAGATTAGATGTTTCATTTTGCTTCCTTCTCCTTTTGAAACATTTGAATAAAAAAAAAATACCATCAATTTACCCCAAGATGAAAAAATTTCAGCAATAATGGCACTCCCTCCCCCAAATTAATGAAAACACACAGGAAGATAACATTCTTATTCACAAATTATCTTACATCTTGCAATATAAGAAATTTCTGGAAAGGCACATAATCCCCTGTTCTTCAAATCAGAGACAAGAACAAGTAGTAATGGTAAAGTTAAGATGGCATGCAGAAGACACAGAATCATACCAGAGGCAGAGAACATTTTTTTCTTCCTCTCAGATCTTACTTTTTAAGGAAGCCAAAGACTTGACAAAAATATTTGAGTCAATTTAAAACATATATAATTTAACAGTGCTGAATGAGTCCATTTGATCTTTAAAAGCCCAAAAACTTATACCCATTAAAAATGTCAATCAATTTTAGCTTTACTTTACCTTCAAGTGCCTAGCCAAGCCATAATTACCCTGAAAAATATATACATACTGTCTGTGCTAATAAACATGTTAAATTCTGTATATTATCAGCTCCAGTGATTCATTTCGATGCTACACAATAAAGAAACACAGCCAGAGTAATTTCAGCTAGTTGATCGGAGATGGTATTGTGTAAGTCAAGTCAGGCAATTCATTTATAAGTGCAGTTAGCTTTGAAAGTAAGCAGAGAATGAACAGGAAGAAAACACCGAACTGATTTCCCATAAGGGTTTTATAGTGACCTTTTGGGCTTCAGCAATACACTAAGATTTATCTCTCTCCTAGCTAAATAGATGGAGACAAGTAACACCTCACACTACTAGATAAATGGTGGTAGGTATTCAACTACTTAAATTACCAGCTTATTTAGAACTGTTAAACTTCTTCAAGTACACACACGGGCTACTAAGAAATCAGTGTAGGATTTTACTGTAGGCTATTGCATGCACAGTAAATTTATTTTTGTTACTTAAATATCAAGAAAATTCTTTGAAACAGAGTAAAGACACTATTTTTCACTGGAGAGCACAAAGCATCCTGCAGGCTTTCTCTACTTGAAGAACTGGCTGCAAAGAGGTTATTTATTCTCTAACACGCCTATCCTGAACCTAGCCAAAACTCTTTAAACTGAGTCCACAGTACTGGATGACACGTTGCCAGGATTTTTATGGTACCCTTCACATGTTTTTTTGGAGAACCACTGCATCATACTGTCATATCAGTCACTGTCATTCTGCCGGTATTATAAACCAACCTGCTGATTTTAATGAAACGATTGTTAACTAAGTGGAGTACATAACGGAAACAGAGTTGGAATCTGACTCTTTATGTCCAGTGACCCCTTAGTCACAGAATAAGGTCTTAATATTAAAGAAGCAAGTACGTCACTCTAGCTAGACTCTAAATAACTCAGCTGAATGTCTTGGCAGCTACCCTTTGGATCCTGCCAATTTTGGCTTTATCAATGCACATCAGCTGCTTTTCTAATGAAATTGCCAGTACTTTTGGAATCACTGTTTTTTACCCATTGGTTTTGGATGACTACACAAGGGATGGGTCAACATGACTCCTGTCAGGCTTTTATTTATTTATTTTGCTAACTGTAGCTTACCACATTCAGCTGAAACTGCTGTGATGAAACTGTCCTAGACTGGGGACAGGGGGAGCTGGTTGTAAAGCTCAGCAGACTGGAAGTCAGTATTTTAAGTCCCAGTCACAAAGTGTGTCACTAGAACTATCAATGGATTTAGTCCTTCATAATGAAGCAAAGACATCAAGAAGCTAGTGAGGAGCTAGCTGTTGCCTAAGGCCAGCTTTACCTAATCTGAACTCCCACAGCTCCTGAGGTAGCCTTCTCTTTCAGATAAGGGCCATGTGAGGACACCTGGGATGCGTTATCAAAACCTGTGTTTGTCTATCTACACTTTGTGATACAAATGCATCACACAGCTGTTTCACATGCCAGTTTATACTGGAAGAAACTGCTGAGGCTAGAGGATTACATTCAGACCTTCCGGTAGGCAGTTTGGTCCAGTTCAATAGAACTGATCAGTAAGAGCACATCCAGCTCCTCCTCAACCCTGTCTTCAGTAAGCTGTATTCCCTCACTGCATCTGTCTCCTCTCCCAAGTTCATGCCACCCACACTTTTCTCAGCTGTAACTCTTCCCACTCCACTCCCTATCAGACTGGGGAGAATCTGGCAGTAGCCCTAAAGTCTCTGAATTGTTAGTTACTAGTCTGGCAGCATGCTGGTAATCATACTGGCACAAAATGCATAGCTGAAATGAAAAACAAGCTTGCTGTTATTAATTGTAAGTAAAAATAAAAATAAAATAAAATGGATTCTCCACCTCCCTCTTATACACACCCCCAAAAGAGTTAACTGATCTGACTTCCTCTAGCAAACACTTCCCACTGAGATGTAGCAGACAGAAGGCATTTCACTGACATTAAAATCCAACAGATGTTGACACCAACTGTGCATGAAAAAAAATCACAAATTTCCTACTGAAAAGGACACCTAGTGGTACATATTAGTATTGCAGGGCTATCCCATTTAATAAGGGGTGAAGCAAGCAATGAAAAATTCTTTACCTTTGTTTTAGCATTAACATTCGCTCCCTGCTTGAGAAGAAAATTCACCATTTTGATGTTTCCATAGTGACATGCCACAATTAAAGGTGTATAGCCCAGCTACAATAGAAGAACAGAGTAAGTAAAACTGCAGTTTCGGGGGAACATTCCTTTAAAGTCATAGTATTTTTCGGCAAACTGGAGACAGCAGCCACTCCATGAGTTACCTTTGTCTGAGCATCCTGGTTTGCACCATGTTTTGTCAGTATTTCAGCTACATTCACTTTATCCTCTTGAGCTGCAAGGTGTAAAGATGTCAGTCCAGTCTAGAGAGGTAAAAAAACAAGCAAATAAATAAATAACAATTGAAAAAGCCCTACTTTACAGCAGGAAACAAATTTAAACATTCTCATTTTCTCATCTGTAAAACAGGAAGAGATCCTAACTGCAACTTTTTTCTACGAAGTAGCTGTCACACAGAACCATGAAAATCCACATGACAAGAAAGTGTCTTGGCTGGCATAACCACTGAACAGTTGTCCATTGCAGCTCTCAGGTTTGTTACATATTGTTATATCAGCACAGGAACCTGCAAACTCCAGAATTCCTCCTCCTTTGCATATAATGTGAACCTTTGGAAGTCTATGTGAAAACATCTGAGAGATGGCAAGGTTGCAGCACAGCTAAACTGCTCTTGTCCTGTCTCCCTGAATGACGTGGAAACAATTTTCCCTTGCCTGTCTTTTCTCCTCTTCCTCTAAAGCTCTACCAGAGCTCTGTGTTGCATCATTTTCCTCTTGTAATGCCAAACAGATGCAGCTCCTTCTGAGTATCACCCAGCACAGCTACTAATGACAAAGTATAAGCTAATCAGCTAGTCTCCATTTGCCAAACCTAGATATTCTCTTCTCACCTTTACCACGCACCCACCTCTTGATGCCTCTGAAAAATCATGGAAACGTATACATAAGAAAGTGGAGAATTTCTAAGAATGTGACATGATTCCTGCACAGCACTTGACATCTCACTTGAATACTCCCACCATAGTACTTCACCTTCTGTTGCAAGTTACCTTTGTTGCCACATGAATATTAGATCCTTTCTCCAAAAGCAAGGTCACCATGTCAGCATGACCTTCTTGGGAGGCCAAATGAAGTGGGGTCACTCCCTGTTTGGTCAAAATGTTGGTCTCGGCCCCATAGTTCAAAAGAGTGGTAGCTATCTGCATCTGATTTTTCTTGGCAGCGATGTGCAGAGGGGTGTAGCCATTCTAACACCAGTCAGGAAAGGAAAACAAAAAGAAAGTTAACACAACAGCCATGTAAGCATATAAAGTCAGACACCTTAAAACAGTATTTTTGCATGCTTCCCACTCTCTCAGAGATGAGATTCGTTATATTCTGAAGGCAAAGCATTTCCTATGTGGTCTGGCTCTTCTGTTGCTTTGGCCATCTGCGTTTTCTCCTTCCAAACTAGGACAAAGCTTCAGCTCATAAGACACTTAATCAGATATTTTCAAATTATCCTTTGACACGTACATTTTAAATATCCTAGACTGTAAATATTCACTTTTGACTGATAAATTACATTCTCTATGGAAAGTGATGGGTGAACATTCTTCACTCCATTATGTTTTTTTGGAATGCGTGGGTAGATCAGTGTTTGCCCATGGGATTTTGATACAGATGACAGGCATGTTGCTGTCTGGAAACATTCATAGGGAGGAGTGTTTTTCAGTTCAAATTAACCATTTTAGCAGAGCAGACAATTTTTGGCAAGAAGACAACTTCCCATTTTTGATTGCTTTAGAATGTCCTATGGGGGCAAATTCTGGGTTATAGCAAAGAACCTCTTTAGGGGGGTTTGGCTAGTTGGTCTGGAGCTTGGAGGGGGTGTGTGGGAAAGAAGGGGGGCATTATGAAGCTATCCTGTTACAACCACAGCTTTTGCTACTCTCCAGACAACAACAGAAAGAGCAGTTCTTATACAACCAGTGAAAAGACAGACCACCTCTTTTTAGTAGCATATATAACAGCAGTCCCATACTGGTCAAAACATTCTGAAAACAGTAACAATTTGCCTGTTATTTTTCTCTTTTATTAGCCTAACATAGCAAGATCATAATACAATTTCTATTCCCGGGAGGAATCCTGCACATGCCTATTCAGTTTCTACTAAATGGTTTCTACTATGAGACAATACTAAAGTGAGTTCCAACTATGATCAAAACTCATGGACATAGAAGCGAACTTAGAGACACATACATCTATCCCTTCGTTTTCCAAAAACGATCTCAAAAAAAAAGATCACAGAATACTTTACTAGGAGATCATCTGGTTGAAACCAAGAACAACTTCCAAGTTGTATCAGGCTGCTCAGAAACTTGCCTAGCCAAATTTCAAACAGTTCCAAGGATTTGGCTGCCCCTTCAGGCAACCTGTTCCCATGTTTGACCAAGCACACTGTGGAGACTTTTTTCTTTATATCTGACTGAAATTTTCCATTTTGCAACTTGCAGCTATTGCCCCATGACATCACATGCCCTCTGTCTCCCATGTCAAGCATCCTCCCTCCTCTTACGATGGAAACTCGGAGACTGAGTGCTGCAGTATCATATGCATCTGGTGAAGAGACTGCTGGCTGCCTTCCAGCTCCACAGGATATATATGTGTGAGCTGAGGGCCAAGTCCTGGCGACGCAGTGTGCCCAGATAGCAAGGAGTGCATGGTACTGAGAAAGGCTGAAACCAGATCTCCCTCTCACAAGAAATTTACACTCAGGTAACACATGCAACTCTCCGTAAAGTTAACTACACTTTGCCTGTAAGAGGAGGGTTGGGTTCTGCAAGACGAACCACCAGTTCGGACAGACAGCTTTAACCAGTCTAGATTAAAAGTCAAGCCATTAGCCCTTAAATACATACTGATTCATCCACTCAGCTGCAAAGCAGAGTGCCACACAGTATCTGACAGATCGAGCTGCTTGTCTGCTCATCGCACCTGATGAGCCCTTAATTTTCCACAAAAAGGACCTGGCGGTGACAAGCATGAGTATGACATGATAGGGTACACGGATGTCACTGTATAGGTGATCAACCCTCTCCCCTACAGGCACAGTGCTTCCGCCCTCCACCAGTAACAAACGAAGACTTAAGAGCTGCGGGAGTCCTGTTTCACCGCCGTTTGCCCCGCTGTGCCCGCAGGCAGGGAGGGGAAGGGAAGGGAAGGGAGGGCAGCAGCGCAGGGACAGGGTGACGGTTGGCGGCCGTTGGCGGCGGTTGGGCGCTCACCTTGGCGGTGACGTGCGGCGAGGCGCCCCTCTCGAGCAGCAGCAGCGCCACCTTCTGGTTGTCGTAGTGCGCCGCGACGTGGAGCGGGGCGAGGCCGTTCTGCAAAGGGCGGTTACTGCGTTAGCGCCGCCGGGGGCCGTTAACGGGCGAGGCGGCGCCGCCGCCTCCTCGCCTTGCGTACGAGGGACGGGCACCGGGAGCGGTGTTTAGCCAGCAGTTAGTAGGCTGCGGTTAACAGGAAGGAGAAGCAGCAGAGGATGCATTTGAGCAGACCCGCTGCTGGCACAGCTCCCTGGGTGCACAGTGGCTTTGGGCTACCAGTTCCCTCTGACCAGCAATCCTCAGAAAAAGCACAGCCTGCCCCTGTTGTTTTCAAATTAAGATTTTCACAGCTTGATGGACATAGCATGCCCATCTATAACGTAAAAATACACAAAAGCAACCAATACCTTACATGCACTTCCCAAAACTAGCATGCATCACCAAAGCCCTTGGCTGAATGCAATAAAGCAAAGGGAACCGCATGAGAGCAGCTGCACTCAACATTCGTACGCCCATTCTGCACAGCAGTGTCCCAAGGAGAAGCTGAACGGGCCCAGCTGCAGTTTGCAAGCGCCCTGGGCAGTACCTTGCCAGCTGCGTCAGGAGACGCACGGCGTTGCAGAAGCAGCTTCGCCACTTCCAGGCTCCCGTATTTGGCTGCCACATGCAAAGGTGTGAATCCCTTCTGCGAAACGACAGGAGAGAAAAGCAAAAGGTTGTGCTGAAAAACAATGCTGACAGTGCTCTTAAGAACCACATGCACATCTGTCAGTAAACGTTACAGGCGGTTATGTTGCAACCTATGTCCTAACTGCCATTTTTATTCAGAATCAATAGCCATACCTAGAAATAGCATTTATCCCTTGATAACATTTTGAAAAGTGTGATACAAAAACCCACACCTTTTTCTTTTGTTCCTTCATATGTACATAGTGTCAGGCTGGCAGACATTTCATCTGATACAGATTTCACGAGCAGAGCCCATTGTGTGGGCAACGAAGGCACTCGTTCCAATTTCTACTCAGAATAGGCTGCACTTCAAAATCAGTTTCATAACCATAGCTTTAAAAGTATTCCCCATATCAATTCTTGCCTGTTACGACAAAGCACCAACTAAATTCATTGAGAAAAGCTCTACAAATTGCGTCCCTTCTTTGAGTTTGTTGAAGAATGATTTACATTTAACTTATGCTTTATATACAGTCACTAAGTTCTCTTGCAGTCTCTGAAATTCAGATAAGGAGACTCATGCATGATCCAATAGCAGTGTTTTTAAAGGACAATCCAGTAAGGCTAAAAACAGTATCTCTCTTTAAAGAGTCATTTTCACTGTTTTAAAAATTGTTATTAGTGACACATAGACCAAAGACCATGTCATGTCAAAGTAACAGTATTTTCTTACATGGCAGTAAGAAAAAACTCATAGATGCCAAGACAGTAGGTGGCAGACTACTCTGCTGTCCTGACAATAATCCCAAAGAGGCATCAGGCCTATTTGCCTGACATAAGTGATGTGTAGTGTTTGTTTTCACTGTCATTTTATTCAATTAATCCCACTTTTAAAGAGTCTTATGTAAGGGAATCTCGAATGTTTCCATCTCATGAATCACAAGTTAATAGAGGGATTATCTAGTGAAATACATCGTTCATATTCATAATTATAGAATGTTCTTGCAGTAACTAAAGCTATCGCCATAAAACAATATTGGAAATTAGGAAAGTACTTAGTGTATTTTTAGCCATTTTAATACGATTTAAGAGACGGATAAAAGGAGAACAGCAAGCAATCACAGTAATTTGTGGATGAGAATTTGAGAATCACAGGTTTAGTCTTCTAAATCATAGAAGACATTCCATTTTTCAAAAATATTTTTTAAACTCCAATTGTAAAATAATGGGTGAAAAATCAGAAACCATGTTTAGATCTTTAGCTTGAACACTATAGTGAAAATCATTAAATCACTTGTGATAAAACTTGGAAAAGATATCTCGGCATACTCTATTCACAGTATCTGTGTTCTTAAGTGCTCATCACTCTGGAATGTATTGGTAATCGTGTTGAGCTAACAAAACAAATAATTCCACAGCATGTTTCTTTTATAACCCTCGGGAAAAAAAAAAAAAAACCACATATTGTGTCATATGATACCTCATTTATAGAAACACTGAAAATAGATTTAGAATTAGCTGAGACTTGACAGATGCTGAATTGTATCAGTAAATTCCTCTCAGCTAACAGAGACCAGAATTATTTACATAAACAGAGTTTTGAGAGATATGCAGGCCTGTTCATACAAAAGTATTTAGCTTAATTTTCCCATATCTGTATTTTCTATTCTGAAACTTTTGGCAAAGAAAAAAAAAAAGAAAAAAAAGAAAAAGCCCTACCTGTAACACAATGGGAAAGACAGAAATCAGGACTTCATGAGAGAGAGAGGAATCAGGGCTTCATGTACCTGTTAAACCTACTGAAAGCATGCCCTGCTTTTGGCTCTAGTGGAAACACAACTCTCAGCTTCAGATGATGGCAAAATATTTTTTAAATGATTACTTCCTGATACATTTGTTCAGCCTATTTGATTCTGGTTGATTAAATAAGAAAGAGCAACAAGAACAAACTAACTCAATTTCTCAGTGACAGCGCATCCATCATGGAGCAGGTTGCTCCTTGGGCACTGCCCACGAGAACACAGACACAGAGCATTTTGTCTTACTTTGGTGGACATGGAGTGCGAGGCACCTGCCTCCAAGAGAACCGAGGCAACATCCACTTGTCCCTCCCGGGCAGAGATGTGCAGCGGAGTGTATCCGTTGGTGGTCGCAGCATCGGGGTGCGCCATGTGCTGTAGCAGAAGCTGGACGATCTCCGTCTTACCCAGGCGAGAGGCAATGTGCAGTGGAGTCTGTTCTTCCTACAACTCAAATTGAGTAGATAATTACCACAGGCAGAACCATTCTGAACATCAGATTCTCGTTAATTCTAGCAGATCTCCCTATGCATTTTTATATGTGTTTTCATCAGAAATCATAATAAAAGACAGCACGAAAACTAACAAACAAAAAGTACTAACAGAGCAACCTGTAAGGCTAATTTCTGGGATTAGCTTCAGCAATACGTTATTAGAAAAGAGAAGAACTTTGAAGAAAACCGTTTTTTTTTTCTTCCTTTCAGTACAAAGGCAGATAGCTGATACTGCTGTGAACACCACTTGCTTTTTTTGGTATCCTTAATTTATTGTAAACAGTTGTGCCTTGCTTGACCCTTTGGTCGCAGAATCTGGCACTCTGTGCTAGCTGCTATCAGAACCTCCAGTGTTTGGTTTTAGGACACTTCTGTAGAATTCTTGCTAGGATAAAATAGCTGATATTATTCTGAGCCAGACACCATCTACTTGGATGAACTGCACATAAATAAGCTACCTTACAGAGTGGTATTCAGACGTGCCTTATGTTGAAGCCAGAGATCAAATGAAAATGAAATTGCTCCTTCTTAACCCAACTGCTCCAGATGCATTTTGGAGAAAATAAAAGAAGTTGCAAAGAGAACACCTACCCTAGCTCGGGCATCCACCAGTGCCCCATTTCGCAGGAGACAGCGAACCACTTCCACCTGCCCAGCACGTGCAGCCATGTGTAGTGCAGTCTCTCCACGCTGCAGAAAAGCAAAAATGTTTCAGTATCCTAAACCTTCTGGAACAGAGAAAGCTCAGATTTTATAAATTTCACCCACCCCAACTTGTGAGTGAAAAAATCACACTTCCACCAGATATGAATCTGGCTGTTCCTGCTTAGTAACAGTTCCCTCAGGACAGAGTGTACGTATATGTCACTGGCCCTAGACAGTATAGGAAAATCCTCGCTTTACTGCTGGCATTAAAATCATATCTCTACTCCAGTAGAAATTCAAGTTCATATCCAGTCTTACAGTGTGAAAATGGTCCAAAAATATGTCCCACCAGAGAATGCTCAATCCCCAAATATTCTTAAGAAATTCTGCCTTATGGACTTCCCTGATGACATACATTCCTCAGCCTTCCACATAACAGCACATCAGCTTGTGCCACACAGGAGATAAGAATATGCTGAGCCTGTCTCTTCCAAGGCACTGTGAGGCACATAAGCCTCAAGATGGAAGGGGATATTTTTCCAGATGGTCTCTTCCTGCCCACCGTGTGGAGCTGGCAGCTTTAGAAGGCCTCGCAATGGCCGAGCTCAACGAGCCAGCATATGAAACGTGTAAAATCTGTGCTAAGCAACATGGCTGTGTGTGTGGGCTACGACATGAATCTTGGATCCAGACTTTTCCAGCCCAAAGAATTTGCGGGGGAATATGAAATGTAAGATGTTTGACTGACATGATTTGGAAATTTAGATCAGGATAATGAACTGCAGATGATATATTCAAATAATTTTCTTGTGCATCAACTTGCAAAAGAACACTGAAAACAAGCCTTCCTCGGTGACAGAGCTCCTAGCTCAATTTTGCACTGTTCAACACACTCTTTGAGGAAGCTCTCCTCAAAAGACAAGTCCTTGCACAACTCACCTGTATCTGATACATTAGGTAGTGGAATAGTTCAACAACCATGAGCTCTGTATCCATCTGTTTTGTTAAGACAATACAGCAGGACTCAAGACTTCTTTGCGCCAAGAGTTCCACCTGTTTGCTCCATAGCTATAAGACTATATTCTACTGCATGGCTCTCATTCCCATGGCTATCAAACTAATCCGCAAATACCAAAACACCATCACCATCAAGATCTTTTGCATCAGAAACCAATATCTTTCTATCCTTCCTCTGTACAGATGTAGCAAAAGCAGCAAACCAGTTTTAGCCACCATTATGAACTTTTGAATCAAGCCTCCCAGAGAGTGATTTGTTTACACTAATTTTAAAATCAACATTGTATTACCAGCTGTGATTAGTTAGTAGACAACAGGCAAAATCCCACAGCCATAATTACAAATTTTAATCTAGAAATTAATCTCTATAAATTTTACTACCTGAAGAATGAGGTGTTTAAAATGCAATAAGTTTTATGGTTTACACCCTTTAACGATCAAATTTCTGCTCTGTACTTGAATTAGCAAATCAATCTGGCCTCTGGAAACAGTAACTCAACAGGGAACTTCAGCTTACGAAGTAAAAGCCAAGACACCTGGGTAGCATAAATTATATAGTGTTACATTTTGCACACAAATGTCCAGTAATACCACTATGACATTTTTTATTGCTTCCACAAGAATTTCCTGTTGGTTTCCATACCATTAACTAAATTTAAATATAAACATTGCCAAAATACAAAAGCAGGAAGAGATTTTGTCAAGACAAGTCTGTTCTAGTAACTCAAGTAAAAAATTAGTTTTGTTTAACATTGTTACTGGGTTACAAATAAGATCTTTCAAACCGAGAGAAGGCCCAGTGTATCCCAATTACTCAATGATTCGTTTTATTTTGAGAACTTATTTCTAACTTTGCTTACTGGTAAAATCTCCTTTCAAAGCAAAGACTTTTGCAAAGTAAGTTTTTTATTTAAACAGTAGTGTATGTGTGAAACAACTCAGGAAGCCATCACATTCTTTTTATTGCCATCACTCTCGGTAACTAGGCTATTGGTATACAAACACTGATTTCTACGGTAAGCCAGGTTCTGCATTACGTGTTACCTCCCAAAGGTCACATTTTTTAGACTTAAATATGTTCTTTAGAAAGGCACCAATTCCTGGCATTTCCTGTTAAAGGAACATCTTGCAGTTAACATTTTTATTTTCTTGCCTGTTAGTTTTAAGCATTTTACACACTTCCACTCATACAAATGACAATTTCATGGCAGCTGGGGAAGCTGTGCAGGCAGAAATCAGAACCATTAGAATTTATTTAATCATTCAAAGCTGATGAACCTCAATCTTCTGTTTGACTCAGCTTATATGGACTTTGGATGATTTACCTGTTTTTAAGGAACTCTTCATCTACTTGAGCATTGCTGTGGAACACATGAAGCCTCACATGGCTTATCGTGCCTATACAATAGCCATTTCCCCCCCTCTCCTACTGTTTGGGAAATGCGCTAGGAAAACTTGTCCTAAATTTGTAACCAAGTATGACAAAAACGAGACCTTTGGCTGAACACAGAGGAGGACAGACTGTTTCTGTATGAGCTCTCGCACAGATGACTCTAGTCAAAGCCATACTCACAATGTTAGTGACATCGGGAGAGGCTCCGTTCTGCAGCAGGAGGAGGACTATGTTCAAGTGGCCCATAAATGCAGCCACATGTATTGGTGTGAGGCCCGACTGCGAAACAAAGCAAGAGCAGTTTTACTCCTCTGCATGGGACATAGGGAAGGGGCTTCTTCATTTAAATAAAGAACAAAAATTTTTAAAAAGTGAAAAATGAGGCATGACAAGAAAAAGAAAAAAAAGGAAGTAAAAAGGGAGAGAGCAAAGGAAAGTTTCTTCATGATATGGAACATTTTTCTACCTCTGTTATAGCCTGGATTGAAGCCCCATATTTCACCAGGAGTTCCATGACTTTGATGCGATTTTTCTTGCAGGCAATGTGCAGTGGAGTAAAACCATTCTGTGCAAAAGACAGTCATGTTAGTTAAAAACATGCAGCTATGCTTTCCACACAGCTCTATGCGAGCACACTGAAAGCACAAGTGTTAGAATATCAAAAACAACTCTTCCTTTACAGACTCTATAGGTTATGAATTACAGACACCTCTTCCAAGGGGTGGGAGGCAGAACACAGCAGTGCCAGTACTTTCTTCTCAGAGACTGGAGAGAAATCAAACTTCCACCTCTGGAAAGCAGACAGAGCCTGTTCTAACTTGCAAGCACACATACGTGTGTGTACATTCATGAGAGTCCATTTGCATGCAGGTATATGTACCATCCATTTAAGACTTAGAAAATTTTCTAAGGAATGCTTAACAAGAAATTATAGTGATACTTTAAATTCACTTAGCATCTTCTGCCTGAAACATATAGAGCTCCTCTATCCCTCCCTAAGGACAAAGCATTTCTCCAGATGCTGCCTCATCTTCTTATTTGACCTCATGGAGTATCTTGTAAGCTAAGCATCTATTTATTTATTTATTTATGCATCAATCTTGATGCACAAATGTTTGCATATTTGTGTATTCTATGAAGTATCTTAAATTAATAATCACTTCTTCAGCTGTTTCATTAAAGAAAATATTTGTCTTTAAGTATCTGCATTCTCTCTCCATTATTCCTGCCCTGATGAGTCTTAAAGCATCATTAAGCAAGATATCAGCACTCATCTGTATTAAACTAAACAGGGCATGAACTTCTTAAATCAGGACTGCAACCTAACACTGAGAATATAACTTTAATATTGCACATAAAGATCAGCAGACATGTATTTCTTTGGAAATGAAGACTGAGGCCTTTCCAACACAGTATGTCTTCACACCCTATCCCATAACATATTTCCTAATACCAGCTGTTTTTATGTACCGCATAGCTAATGCAGGTTAGGTGTGAAACTAAAAAGCTAAGCAAACGCATTCTTTCCTAAGTGAGATGAATTGAAAGCCTCAGTTCTCAGCTGTTAGTAAAAAGCTCATCAAATCAAAATTCAGTACCAGCGTGTGAACATATTTGTGAAATCACAGGTAACATTTTGTTAAATAATTGGTGTATTTTCTAATGAAAAGGATCATATTGCTAAACATTCAACCAGAAGCAAAATGAACTTAAAACAGTGAAATCTTAGCTCAAAGAAGCTGCCAGTAACTGCTATAGCAACAAATTATTCTGCAGTCAACTTCTGTTAAGAAAAATGTTGATTAGTACTTGATTTGAAGGTGCTTTACAGCATATAGAAATAGCAAAAGCTCAGAACTCATGTTGTGCTTGTATCTTCAAATCATTTTATAAACATAAATAATTAATGTAGCTGAAAATGAATTTTGGTAATATTATTCCATCCTAGTAGTTCTCTATAGAATATTACTATTATTATCCTTCCCCTGTTTCTTAAGAAGGATTCAAAAACATAATGTATTCCACATACTGCACAACGACTCTCAATACATTTTATAGAGAGCTTTACCGTTTCAAAACTTCTAAAAGAGAGGTAGCAAACAAAAGACCAAACAAAAATCAGGCAGTCTTGAGGCCAGAAAGCAGGAGGGCAGTGGTCCGAGATTGTTCTCCTTTTGTTTCAGGACTGATGTTTCTCAGGGAGGGAAGGAAAGATGGAGGGGGAGGAACACAAGGCATATTTCTGGTCAAGAAAGGAGAGAATCAAGATGTTGGGGACTTGCATACAAATAGTATGTGTGGATAGGTGAGGAAAGTACAGCTAAAGGGTGATGGAAAGGCCGTAGGGTAAAACAGGACATAAGGATGAAAAATGAACCAAAAAAACAACCAAACGGTATGGAAAAGACTGACCAAGAGAAGCGTCAGACCAGGATGCAAGACAAGTTAAGGAATTTGAAGGTATAAAGGGGCCGAAAAAAGATTTTGGCAGTAAAAAGCCAATTCCAAGCAGGCAGTGAAGTAAAAATTTCTTGTGACAGGGAGACAGTTCGAAAAAAAAAAAATCAAGTTTATCTCAAAGGCAAGAAGCTGGAAAGGACATGAGAGTGGCCTGCAGTGAAAGCTCTGTGGAAGCACCAAATACTGGAGGCAACAGCGGAATTCTTGTTGTACATATATATCTTAAACGTGGGAAAGAAAGAGACTGTGGACACTGCATGTAATATATTGCCATTTCAAGTTCTATCCAGAAAAACTGGAAAAAATGGCAATCACACTGGACAGATTAAAGCTCTTGAAAGCTTAATATGTTCCCGAAGCCAAACTTTGATTTTTTTTCAGTTCAGAGACAACAATCAGATCAATGAGAGAAAGCATCAGACATGTCTTCCTAACATCATTTGGTTTACTGATTCAACTGAAATCTTTAAAAAATTAGTTGCATACCATATCACACTGTGAGCAATAACAGTGTGTGAGACAAAATCAGAACCATTTCTACCTGATGCTTAGAGCTCTGGAGTTTCCAAGCCTAATACAAACATGAATCTCTAACGATACGGGGAGCATTATACTGGCAGCATGTAGGCATGTCAACTCCTCCAGCGGTGACTATGCACAGCTGATGGTGTTTGCTGACAGAATTCCCACTTAGCTTTGCTAGTAAGTGCTACTCATCTCCCCTGGACAGTTTTGCTACATTACACAGGTGGGGCAGGTTTACCAGGGCACGAGCATTGGGATTTGCTCTCTTGTCCAGAAGGAGCTTGGTGACACGATAGTGGCCGCAGTGTGCGGCCACGTGGAGGGCGGTCAGGTAATCCAGCGTGACGTCGTCCACAGGAGCCTTGTGCTGCAGGAGATGCTTCACACATTCCACGTGGTCACCCTGAGCCGCCATGTGGAGCGGAGAGAGTCCGTTCTATGACAAAAGAACACACACGAGTAATTTCTAGCACCTCTTCCTTAAATGGTGGCACACGTATTAAGAGAGCCCCATTGCGAGTCTGTAGAAAACTCCTGTCACTGAAACAAGACTGCATCTGAGCTAAGGACTAGGAGAAAAACTGAAAAAGATTATGCCTCTTTCAACTAATGTAGGCGAATTTAGAAAAACAACATATATTTAATTAAAATCAGAACTGAATCAAAGCAAAAAAAAATCTTTTGGTCTTCTCATGATTTAATAGATCTTTTTGTAAATATTGAAGTCTGTGGAGGGTAGGGTTTTTTTCTTTCTTTTTTCTGAGAAAATAATTTTATTATTTACATATTTGTCTGTCTCCAGTTTGGAATCACCTGCTTCAGTAAGAAATTGTCTTAAAATCTGTTTTCATTTTACTTGCAATTCCATACTTCAAAAGCACTGTATATTTAAAGATAGACTGTAACGTACAGACTTGAACTGAGAACTGACTTGGTCTAATCAAACTCACTGGTTATTTGCCATGTGAAAGGAGAAATTATTCACTGGACAGTTCTGCTCTGCTCAAACTACAAGACACTCAGGACGTCCAGATTCTTTAGCCACTCTTGATCTTCTAGGGGACCTCAGGCATGCAATTTCAATACTCTCCATCACTGTTTCCCAACTAATGATATTGTTTGCCTTCACCAGGCACTCTGAAACCTACTAAGGTGAAGCACCGCGTATTAGGGCTTGGTATTATATGACAAATGTCTTTCACTGGTTTGACTTAAGGGACAGTATTTCTAATAAATGGATTCATCTTAAATGCATGCTTTTTAAAAACTAATGGGAACACCGATATCATTTTCGAAGTCCATTAAAATAACCAGGAAAAGCTGTAACCCACAGGATATAGTTAACTCCTATGAAGAATCAGTAAATATACACAGACAATCTCACAGGAGTACCTGACCCAACATTCCAATCTTTGTTTCCTGTGGTTTTAAGAAGCCATAAAAGTTAAGTACTTGCAACTGCACTATATATTATGTGTTTATTCTTATACTATAGAGATGGGATTTACATATTGGAAAAAGATAGTCCCTTGTTATATAAGAAAACCTTATTTTTGGACCATTACTATATTTCCTTTGGGAGAACAGACTTGTTCCTGCCTTATTTCTTGTCCTTTTAGTAACACTGAAAAGTCTTTGGGAAGTTACACAGAGCTGTTAACATATTCTTCGAATAAGGCGTGCACCTTGGTCCTCGCAAGCAGCGGGGCACCTCGTTCCAGAAGCAGCTCCACAACTTGGTCATGTCCACTTCTTGCAGCACAGTGGAGTGGTGTGAGTCCATCCTTAAAGCAAAAAAAGGGCAAGTAAATGAGCAAATCTTTAAACTGTCTACCCTGGCACTCTGAGGAATACATTTCCAGGAATCCAGCCCACAAATGTATGAAAAAGCTCCCTTTTTTGACTCTGAACTGAAGCTGCTTCAACCACATGAAGTTTCCCCTCTATGATTCCTTACACTAGTAAAGGACACTCTAATGTCACAGCTTCAGAGAGAAGGACATTGTATATAGAAAGATACTATGAAAAACCAAGTGTGCATGCACTGCCTCCTCTCCGCCTTCTCTGCAGAGCTTTGAGATTGCAGTGCTTCTCCCCCAGGAATGTGTGGCTGGGCCGAAGATACTTGTGAATCAACCTTGGTCCTTTGGATTGCTCATGATGCAGGGATGAAACAGGAAAAGTCCATGCTAAATTTTGTTCTACAATGTATTCCCTTTTTTCCTTTTTTTTTTTTTAAACAGGCAGCAGGAGAAAGAAGACTTTAAAGGAAAGAGAAAAAGAGGGAGAGAGAAAAAAAGAAACGAACAAAAATCAACAAAACATCATCCTTTGTTTCTGAGATGAAATGGCAAAAAAAGAGCTAACAATTCTTTGCTAAAAACGTGAGAGCATCAATTCTGCAATATGTTTTCTGCGGCAAAAAAAGAGCTAACAATTCTTTGCATCAATTCTGCAATACGTTTTCTGTTGCCCAAGAACATCCTGGACCAAAACACTTGCTTAGGCTACTCAGTCACCAGGCACAACAGTGGTTGCAAAAGATGTGCCAATGAAACATTCAGACAGCAGAGTGCATTGCAGGTAATGATGCTACACTTTGCCCTTATAATGACGTTAAAAACAAAAAGGAAATCTGAGGAAAAAAATGGTTAGGAAAAAGTATTAGTGGTGAATAACTGGAAAAAGGAAACCTATGATATAGCAACCCAAGCTTTCTTATTAGATCTTGATACTGTTCTAGCATGCATTCAGAAAAGTGATTAATAACCATTCAACAGCGAGGTTTATAAAGGTGATATGTTAATGATTTTTACTTAAAGGAAAGGCCCTGCTCCCTTTCAGACAACTTTCTTAGACAGAGGTAGATGCTGTTATTTCTACAGTGTTTCTACAGTAACATCATTATTATAAGATACAGATGTTCATCTGAGATGAATTCATTACTTACAGATTACCAAAGTGGTGAAAATGCAATAATATGGCCTTAAGCATGAGCCGGTGAACCTACACCACCCAAAAACAGACTGATAAATTTGCTAGCATTTGCAGAACATCTACTTTGCTGTTTTTACATCTACTGCTAACACTTCAGAATTAGAAGTAGCCCTCAATTGCATTATAACTGCACCACTTTACTAAGTAAACACTGCCCTTTAATACTCCCCAAAGAGCAAGTCCAAGTACCAGATCCCCTTTCACCCCTGTCTAGAAGCACAGAGCAACCTTTTAGTTGGTGCATAGAGCTCCATTTCTATGTGGAGTCAAAATCTGTAGGGAAGAATTTTTCTTCCTCACACACTTACTGTTTCCAGATGTTTTTCAGACACAGGTGAAGGGTGGGCTTACATGTACCTTGACTCTCACTGTCTCAGTTGCTATTCCTGCACCATTAAATCCTAGGGGAGCTTTGCAGCAAAACTACACTCATGCAAGATGATGCCCTCAGAGAAAATCTGCAAGATCAGGTCATCATAAAGAATTCTTGCATGGCTGGCTTACCTGTTTTTATATGCTCTGAAATTTTAGAGCACCTTATGCCAACGGCACAGCTGAGTATTTTCCTCCCACTACCAGAGGGGTTCACAAACCTAACTCCAGTTAGCACTACAAAGATAAGACTATCCCAAACATATTTCCAGGACAGGTATGTTTCTGGTATCTCTCTCCAGTTTCCAGCCTTTGTGCTCTACATCTCTACATTTTACTCAAGGTGGGTGGTTCGCTTATATTCGCAATGAGTTTTTGTTACTCTGTTTAATAAAATGGAAAAAGAAAGGTAGAATTGTGTGAAGCTTTGAAAAGAAACAGGGCAGATCCCTGCGTGGAGGGGGAAGTAGAACAATACAATCCAAGTGACGCCTCAATTCCATGGGAAAATAGTTGGAAAATAAGAACTGGATCTTTAAACAGCATGAATTTCTTATCTGTAGGTCCCTGTAAAAATAGGTATAAAAACTTGTTATCTACCCTATCTTTTCCTAGTGTTTACAAAAGCATCATCATTTGCTTTCTGTGCACTTTCTAGTGGGTGAATTAAGGAGACTTTGCAGTCTCTTCCCATGCAACTCTTTTTTCTTCCATCTTTTCCTCCTGGGGAAAACAGCATGTATATTTTAAAATTATGGTACACTTAACACTTTAGATTGTATTTTTGTTTATATTTTATTCAAAGGTAAGGGGAATCAAAAAGGGAGAGTTGTAGTAGAAGAATTAGCACATAACACAATGAGTACAAGCTGACATTAACCAAGACATACACTGGTATACCACATTAATATGCTTTTGTTCCGTTACCTGTTTCTAATGAACCTGATACTTCCAAATCTGCTGCAGAAGTTGGCCTACATACCATTTTAATCATGGCATGTAATTTGGAGAATGTGTGCTGACCAAAATACCATTTGGCATTTGACAGGGCATACAACACTGGGACAAGAGACACATACCTGGTGTGCCACATACCAACCTGTGTGCCTGGTGTGACACCTACCAACAAACACTCCAGGAACACAAGGCCACCATTCCACAAGACAAGAAATTATTCACATCTGCACCTTTAAAGGTCCCATGTTTATATCCTCATCTAAAATAATGTCAAGTTGATGTTTTCACCTTCGAAGTAACTGAGTAGCATCCTGCCTCTTCTACTCTACTGGTCCTGTACGTGATACCCTTCTAGCATGCTGTTTTTAACGTACCCATCAGCTGCCTTACTGTTGCAAAAAACACTACAAGCCATCAGGTATGGAAGCCATGAAATCTCATCACTTCTACTTTCCTCTTAAATGGCTGTCAAAACAGAGCATCACCTTCTGCCCTTTTTCTTTAAGATCACCAATCGTTTCTTAATCTGTAACATCAATTTTGAATTCCTTGCCCAACACCTGACTACAGGGCTCATGAAGATAAATTATCAGGTCATTTCATAGTTATTAAAATGCTCTACTTCTGTTTAACAGAGAGGTTGGGCTTACGGGCGATTCTTAGTGGGAAATTATGTGGGCAGCATGTCAGTGAAAGGGAAGTTATGGCTATTTGGTGCTCGCTGAAATCAAGACTAACAATACCAAAAGACAAGCTATCAAAGAAATATTCTAAACTGCACCTGCAAAGTCTCATTTGTGTAATGGTGAAATCAAATTTGCATAACATGAACCCATTAAGCACATATGTGCAAAGTGGAACAAACTTCCTTGAAAAATACAGGTCACTCTTGCATTACTACTAAACCTCATTCCTTTAAAAATGTCAAAATATACAAGGCAACTATACCTCTTGTTCTAAGCTTTAAGAATCCAGGTATAATTAACCAAACTCTAAAGTATTCCTCCAAGAATGCCACTCGAAGTAAAAATTTTAAAATATATGTATGTGTGTGTATATATGTGTGTGTGTGTATATACATATATATATATATATATATATTTCTCCCATGGGCTTACTTGACTGATATTAACTTAAAGAATTCTAAATAATAGTCTATGCATTCATACAGCTTGCTACCATAGATAATCTGTTCATCATTCCCTTTCCCTTTCTTGCAAACATTATGTAAACCCACTAACATTTTTTTTATATGCAACATCTGCTTTATGATTAGACATTTATTTATAATGTGACAATGCTTTAGGAATGGCAAAAGCTGCCAACGAATTATTCGTGCTCTGCCCATGCATTAAGACTAGGAGAAAATGCCACAGCGGGATCAGTGCAGAGAAAAGCCCTGCTGTAAACGGGGCTGAGTGCCAAGGCAGCACGAGGGTCCTGTTTCACGGGCTTGACGAGAGGAAACTCACGGTAGTGCCTATTCTGTCAGGATACACGTTTATAAAGGATGACACTACTACAAATAAATCCCAGGTTCGCAGGATCCGTGCTATAGGTGTCTGATGCTCATTCACAAAAAAGATCTGACTTTCCCCTCCCACAGGTCTTCCCTTCCCTTCTCTCCCGGGTATCGCACAGCTCTGTGTCCGACCTTGCCCTTCTTTCAGCTCCAGCTGGGCTCTCTCTTCTGCAGCCCTTTTCCAACCCCAGTGCCACTCCAGGCTTCCTCCCCAGCTCATTGCTCCCCCCGGTCCAACTCCCTCTGCCAAGCTCTGGGCACACAGCGTGTTTACTCCCCAGCACAGCCAGCTCTCCGTTCCAAGACTAGATAGATTCACCAGTTCATCCCAGGCTCTTCTCAAGCATAAATATTGGTAAGAGCTGCAAGAGGACTCCAGGGTGGTCCCAGAGCAAAAATTAAAAGGTGGCAAGGTTCAGTAGAAAGAAAATAAATACGTGACAGCTTCAGTTTCTGTATAAATTGCACTCAAAGAACTGCTAAAATGTTCTAATAAAGTCAGTGACATTTCAATATGATGAAGATATTTCTATCTATCCTGCTATCCTTCTATCTATCTTTCCTGCTACTATTAATTTATATTAAAAAAAGATTTCTAATAGAAATACATTTTGACTACGCTGAAATTGTTTTAAACACTAAAATATTTTTCCCTATATTTTGGGAAGGCTTCAAATGCTTTCCTTCCATGCAAGTGAGAACTGATAATTACCACTTTACTCTTCATTGCATGACATTGATTTAAATGTAAATGGAAGTTTCCATCACCTTTTAGAGAATAAGTTTCTGGTTCCAAGCCACAGTCACCAATTGCTTCTGAAATCCAGTTCTAATGCTCTACCATAGTAAGTTTTGGAAGTCAGAAGTTTGGCTGTATTTTGCTTTGTAAGTTTTTAACATCTATGTGTCATTGACATTTTTGTTCAGGTAAACTCGAGATTGCAAGCTTCACTAACATTTTAAATATGAAATGTTTTACCATAAGGAATTTTGTCTGTGATTCGTTTAGCAAACAAATATTCAGATGAGGCTTTTATGTAAATACAACTAATTATAATGTAAATATAACAAACAGTATGAATAAAATTATCCTGCAGATACAATTTGGAAGGGAATTTACACTTTTGCTTTAGATGCAATAGAAAAGAGAAGTGAAATTCCACATTTTAAGAACTTCTTTAGCAGTTAGTTTAAAAAATGGTAAAAATCCAACAGAAATATTTAACTAAAATAGTATTTTTAAAAATACATACAAATGTAGCAAGCAAACTTGCTTGCAATTGTAGATCTTTATGGGCTGGGAGAAATGCCATAAAATCTCAGTGTATACAGTATGAAATGTACACAAAACTAGTTAATTCCTGCAGCAAGTCGCATTTGCTTTGAGATGCAACAGTAGCTATTCAGTGGTAGGAGATGATCTTAATTTCCTCCTTTTGAAGTACGTTTCATGTTACTTTTTTTTAGAGAATACTGAAGCCCATAATGGATCATTCCAATGGAACATTTTCAAACATAACAAGATTTCACTGTGCAAAATTAAAGTACTGAGGCTCTTTTAAAATCTGTTAAAATCAGCTTTCTCATCTTAATTCATGCATCATCAGATGTCATGTAACAAAGTCAAAAATAAAATGAGTGAAAGCAATGAATACTTCCTTAACCAAAGTGCCTGTTTTGATATGGTATGGAAATCAAGCAGGAAAACCCAAGCTATCAGACATGAAATACCCCAGTGCATTTAACTGCACTGTGCTTCAGTGACTCTGATGCCCTGGAACAAGGTAAATGCTCCTTGGGAGAAATGACAAGGCATGTATGGAAAGGCAGGCATGTTAGTACCAAGCAGGGGGAGGCAGAAGTCTCTCCTTTGAAGTACAACACACACGTATGCATGGCATGCAACACTCAACCTACCTCTTCCATACCCTACATACCCACGGCCATAGCAAAGCACAAGGCATGCGGACAAAGCAGGGGGAAAAGAAAAAGACACCGAGACGATATAAAAAGCTGCATGAAGACATCACCACGCCAGAGACACATCGACCACAGAAGCAAAGCTTTGGAATCGCCCACGCTGCAAAGCACGCGCAGCGAGCGCAGCCGCACGGCTTTGGGCGGACAGCAGGAAGAGGAGGAAAGCAAAAGAAGCTGTGGAGCCTGTGCAAAGCGGGATAGAGGTGCTGTAATGGGTTCGTTGGTGTCTCTGTGCTGACAGTGTTGGAGCTACTCTACCACATGTGGAGGGGCTGTAGCCATGACAGTGGCCATTCCTCTACAGCTTGAGCCTTCCATGGACGCCAGAGAAATCCCCATTTGCTGCTACATTGCAGGTTTTCTCACTGAGAGGAGATGGGAATACCCCCTGACCTCCTAAAAATCAAGAAATCCTTAACAATCATCTGGGCCAACTTTTCCAAAACAAATACCTAAATAGCAGGTGAAGAGGCAAATTCAATACTGTCATTCCAAAAGCAAAACAGACCATTTCCATATGACTATGAATATCTGGAATATCTTCACTGCAGTGCATTGTATTTCCTGCCTCTTTACCATCAGGTTTTAGGCACCCATTGTGGAGAATGTGGCCAGGAATGACTTACTGCATACTCACTGCAAGTGAGACACTATCACAAATCCAAATGAAAGTCATGATTAGTCTTCATATATTATGAAGCAATAAATGGTTGATTAAATTAATAGAAAGTAATAGAAAAGGCCGAATCAACCACAAAGAGTGTTGAATGCAGCATCTCCTACCTTTCTACCTTATTAAACAAAGCCTTATACTTGGCTTTGCTTTATTGTCAAACTCTGTGTTCCATGTTCTGAGACACCTATGTACTTGGAAATACTACTTTGCAGATCAACATCTAAAACCAGCAGCTTTCAAAAACAAGTCTTGCACAGTGCCATTTGCGTAAATGACCACGTTTTATTACATGACTTCAAAAATCTGATAAGAAAGCACAAAACCTTACCCATATAAATTGATGCATCTTTTTTCTCTCCCAAATGACTGCAAAATGACCCATGAATAAAGAGTGAAGTATTGCTGTGGCATTTAAATACAATTTCCTACATGATATATGTAGCTAATGCGGGAGACCAAAAAATAGTTCTCTATCTCCTACCATCAATTCCAGACATTCTTTAGCCTGACAGCACAGAAAACAGTCCACATAAAATGCATAACTATCTGAAAACCAAAAGCAGGATTTCAAAAATGTAAAATAGGTATAAAAACACTGTATTATAAATTATTTTGGCATTACCACTGAAAATTTGGTCCAAGATTTAAAACAAGCTCACTTGCGAGGAGGCAATGTTCACATTTTTGCAGCTGCAATCATCTCCATTTATAGCAACTACATCTAATCTGTCACTTAAAGAACAAAAAACAAGGAAGAAACAATTCCTTAAGTAAATTTCCTAGCCATGAATCTTGGTGTTCCTGGTCTCTTGCTAAAGAAAACAAAAAAGAACAAGGAAGCAAAAAAAACTCCAATCCATTCCTAAGAAGGGACATCATCATATTCAGGGAACAGAAACACTCACCCTGGTTTTGGCATCGATCTGCCCTCCGCGATCCAACAAGAGCTTCACCATGTTTGTGTTTCCCCTTTTGGAAGCCACATGCAGTGGGGTGATTCCATTCTACACCATGGAAAGAACAAACAATGAGCGTGATGGACCTGAAGGGGTATGATGGCAGCAACTTCATGTTTGGATCACAAAAATGATATCGTCACTACATCATAGAGAATAAACAGAAACATACTTACGCATCAGAGCTCGGCACACGCTATTTAAACTACAGTTAGTAATTTCTTTTAAGCAAGAATCATTATTAATTGTTTAATAACAAAGCAGCACATTAGCCAAAGCAGCAAACGTCAGTCCCAGAGTCAGACAAATAAATGAACACGTACAGAGTCCCAGTACATCAGTATTCACAACACAGGGACGCATTTAAATCATTGCCACATACACAACACACAAACACAAGACGCCCGCACAAAGCGATCTCATTCGTGTACTGCAAATAGTGTAAAGGCCTAGGTCCTCCTTAGGCTGAAAATCCCTGCAAATGCCTTGGGTGAGGGAAAGAAGTGGTGCTAGCAACTCCTCTGGATCAGCAAAAAAGAGAAAACCAGTCTTGCATTGCCAGGCACATTTCTGTGTGAAAAGCTATACAGAAAATGATCTAGTAGATACGGTAATATACAGATTACCAGAGGCTTTAAGAATATTACATGACACACTTCAAACTATGCAGCATATCACAGCAATAGACTCTTTTAGGCTATTTAGACTATTTACCACAAATATAGTTATAATTAATTTGTCCTCACATTGTTGTATCCATGTAATGGCAGTGTACCCTATTTTACTTTTTCAAAACAGGTCTATATGTGAAAATATCCAAGTTATATAGTAAATATTGAACCCCTAAAGGTAAGGCAGGAAAAAAACATTACTTATTTCATAGACTTCCAGAATATGTCTAACGATGACAAGGAAGCTAAAATGCACCAACACCTGATGAGAACTGGAATCCTGGAACTATCCAAAGCCACTCGCTTCTCTCAAACAGGAATAATGGTTGCCACTGCATTCCAAAGAACCCAGCTGCATTGCACCGAAGCAGCAGAATTTCAACATTACTTGGCTTCTCACTTACTCTTGACTTTAATTAAGGGGGGAGCCTATCTTTTGTTTCATAGGCCATTGCAACTAAAACAGACGAAAAGATTCCTCCATACCCTGGCTGTGAAATCAACTGCAGCTCCTCGGTTTAGCAGCAGCGTTGCCACATTGACGTTTCCGTAGTGTGCAGCTATGTGCAAAGGTGTGAAGCCACTCTACAAAAGGAAACAGTTTGCATTACACAAAACCACCTGTGAAATATACTCTACTTAACTAGAACCATATCTCAGAAGTTTCTGGCAAACAAATGTATTATACTGGCTTTATCCAGTTCACTTGTAAACTGTATAAGTCGCAGTCTTTCAGGCAGACAGAGGGTGCAATTTTCTTACTAGAAATTATCCAAGGCATTTCTTCCTCTCGTTCTGCAATTCAGTATTCCAGTCACCAGTAAGTGACTTGCTTTCATCTTAGAAAACAGTAATACCTTAGCCATTCTAGGAGAAAATAAAGGAAATTTCTTCATTATAGTTCAGAAGCAACAAAGGACTTCTGGTTGCATCTGTTTATTATTTGTGTCTAACAGACTACAAAAGCTACTGGGCTCTTATTTTACTGAGCTTCTCCTAGAATTACAACCTTTGACAACTTTACAGAGTAGATGGCAGACTATAAGAATGACAGTAAGTTAGATTTAAATACAACTTGGATCTCAAAGGATCTGAAAAAACTTTGCCATCTACACATGAAAAAAATCAATTTAGTCATGTTGCCACTTGAACACTTGAAGGTGAAACCCACTTTGGCACAAGATATAGCATGCTTATCAGCAACATAAAAATGATTAACTTTTCAGAAACTAGGACACAGAGCCAACGTTTATTCTTGTAAGTAATTCAGGTAGAAAGCACCTTGTTTTGGAGGGTTTTGTGAAGAGCTTTACCCTGATTTCATCATATCTTACCATCTTACTTTTAGTTATGGGAAAGACAAATACTTCTGCCTTCTGGCACATATCATCTTGTGAGCAAGGTTTCATTGCTTTCAGTGTTTCAGCATTTTAAATTGCTCATGGAATAAAGAGGTGTAAGCAGATATTGCACACTGAAAGTAACTTTATTCCCCAAAGATACAGTAATGAGCCCATTATTCCAACCTAATTCCATTTATTTCCATGTCAGTTCTCACATGGTATGGGTGAAAGCAGAATCAAACACTCAGTAAATTCCTGCCCTTGCTGCTGTGGTAAATTACCAGGGAAATGTCTGGTGAGGTTATAGCCACATAAATACTACACTGTGGCAAACTAGAGTGAATTTATATTGCAGTAACAACCAGCATTTCACGGGCACATATGTACCTCGTGACAAAAGCAAGGTCCTTGGAGACAATTTACTGCTGAGCGAAGAAGTAAACTGCCGCACATGTACAGCGAGAGAAGACCACGCACACAGGGCGATGCCAGGGAGAAGCTGCCTCCCTTCCACGTCGCCTCGCTGGCTGCTGCCTGCAGCCCCCGCCGTGTCCCAACAGCGACGTGGGACACGTCCGCACGGGCCAGCACAGCCAAAAGCCCTGCCTTCCTCCAACAGGCAAGCCCAGGTCGCATGCAACAACAGGCACGCACATACACAAAGCAAGGCCTGCATTCCTGGAACTCTTTCCACTCCCCGCCAAAAGAAAAAGGTATATTCTGATTACATGTTCTCCCTTAAGGACTACCGAAAACTTCACTGAACAGACTCTATTAAGAACAGTGAAAATAAACAGATGCTCGGAACAAGTTTTTACCCTGACTCAATTATATTTTTAACTGTAATACAAGGAAAATGAATTTTACCCTAATTCTGGCTAAGCTAGACACCTTAATTTAGTTATGCCAAGTGAGTGCATTTTCATAATTAATTTATCTGAATAAGAAATACCTCTCTATTCCCTTAACTCCATTACTTCTTTTAGACTTCTTTAAACTGAAAGCCTGCCTTTAAAGCTTAGTTCAATTGGGTGACACTCACAAATAAAAATAAATTATAAACAAAAAGATGAATAAAAATACGTTTTGATGAGTCACAAATTGCCATATAAGTAAAAAGCTTTACTTTTAGTGCTAAATAATAAAGAAATATTGCCACAGAAAAGAGAAAGTATAAATAACAGAAAGAGTAATTAAAAATTTTTGATCTCGGTACCTCAGTCGTCCTATTCACCATCATCTGATGCAGCATGTTTTGGGAAAAAGAGGAAAGATATTACAGTCTGGCCATAAAACGAGGAACTAAGTTGCTTGTTGCAATGAGTTATGCTGTTATTATGGGAAAAGCCATTCAAGCATGCAGTAACATTAAATCTAAGCTACATTCCCATGGGCAATAAACCAGTATCTTACTTAATAGGGTGCAATGATTCTGCTTCCCTTTTTTTTTCCTTCCCTTCTGGTTCATAAATAATGAGAGAAAGATGCTTATCAAAGAAATGGGAGGCATAAAAAAAACAAAGCATAGTTTTTAACTATTACCTAGCTAAACACTGCAGAAATATATCCATTATTGGTAATACTGGTCTGGCAACTTAGCCTTCCCCACAGAAGAATTTCCTTTTAACTGCTATTTTAAGAGGAAGGAAGCAAAGTTTGCCGCCCATAGGCACTCAGCCACGTGACTGTCGTTACCTTGAAGACAGCGTCATGTTACCTTGGACTGTACATCAGCATTATGGTCGTTCTGAAGAAGGAGGGCGGCTGATTTGGTGTCATCTTTTCTAGCGGCAATATGCAGAGCCGGTAATCTCACTTTGCCCTTGGTGTCATTTTCCAGGAGGATGGCCACTGCCTGATTGTGTCCCTGCTGCAGCGCAACAGCTAATGGAGTGAAGCCGTCCTGGTAGAGAAGAAAGCAAAATGTCCTCAGTGAGCTGAAGAATATACAGCTCGAGTTCCACAGCACCAGTGCCCGAGAAGTCTGATAACGTCTGCTAACACATTACCAGCTGTTCTCTTCCTCTGCACCACAGTCTCAAGTGGAATGACATCAGAGGTACATTTTACCCCCCCAAATACACCTTCAAACATTTCAGAAGTGCTCTTTTGCCCTCCAGAGTTATTCCTCTGTGTCAAGCACAGGCAACAGGTTGTTCTAAAATATCTCTAACAGTTCCTTCTCGTCTTAAAACAGACCACAAAGCATATTTTAAGCAATATTATGGCAAGGACTGAGGAACATAGAGGGCTCTAGTTACTGAATATCTTGCATCTCTGGGAGAAGCCAGCCTTCAAGATGCATTTACTGCTCTTACCCTTTCTAAATTAGACATAGACTATGCCTCAGGAAAGTCAGATGACCTTAATTAAATTATTCTAAGTAGCAAAGCATTACAATCTTTGGAAAAAAACAAATTAGAAAAATCTATTTTTCATTCATAATATTAGCCTTGTTTTTGTTTTAAAAATTCTTGCCCCTCCATGTGTGCCCTGGATTGCCAATGCATAACATGCCACATGGCCACTTGCTATCTCAGCTGCAGGGCTACCTACTCGCATGCCTGTTACTCTGACTAAAACTAAACCTATCTCAAGCACTGAGTAGGTGGGCTGCAACTGCATCTTAGTGTGGCAGGCAGACAAATCATGAAATACAGAGCTCGTGAGTCTGTGACCAGAAGGTCGGAGGAACAAAAATGATATAAAAAGGCAAGGGGATAAAACAAGGTTTTCTATGTCTACCTCAGAAGGAACAACTAGAGATGAGCAAGCTGACTTGGATACAGTGTAAAAGACGTAGGAAAGTTAAGACATTGATTTGGAATAGGAAAATGGAAAAATGATAAAATAACAACAGACAAACTAGGAAGGAATGAGAGCCAACATATGTCAAGACAAACATTTGAAGAATTGCCCAGTCTTGCCAAAGCAATCTTTCTTCTTAGTAATCTAATAACATGCACTGCCACTGTGGGGAGATGTGCCGTAATACCTATACCACCATAGTTTCTTTCTGTAGTAGAGATTAAGTTCTATACAGTGAATTAAAAAGGGGTGAACAGCTGATGAACAGCTGAACTGTAAAGATAATTCTCAGATTGAGGCTACATTAGGTGTTGAAATAGCCTTTGCCTCTTGAAAGATGAGAGCAAATCCTGGATTAGAGGACATGCGAAACTGACCTTATTCTCATTTGATACCTATATGTATACCAGCATGAGAGGAAACATAAAATACAGTGCTTGTTTCGTATTTTCAAAACCAAGAACAATTTTTCGATCTGCACCATTTTATCTTCCTTCCCCCTCGAAAAGAACACAGCCCTTTCTGCATTCCACCTCCTACTACATGGAGAGGGCAAGGCGAGCAGGAGAAGGCATTTCATTTCCCACATCCCACCATGAGAACAGACGATCTTTGATGCCAAACAAAATGTCCTTCTCCATTTATTTCAGTGGGGATCTTCACTTCAGCCTGCCATCCCATCTTACGTACCACAGTAATTTTTCATTCCGTTCATCAGACTAAATCTGAGCGCATGTGAAAGCATTCAGCTGCTCAGTCCATTCATCCTTCAACAGCACTCAAATCATTGAAACCATCACCTGAGTAACATGTGAACTCAAAACTTACCTAGATGAGAAATAAGGGTACGGGCAAGCTTTAGTTTGTAGGTGACAAAAATAAGCACTGACCTTTCTGATGGCAGAAAGTGGCTCTGGACTTAGGTTTGGAGTAGGGGACAGCTGGATTTCTCCTTCCCTCCACCACCCCCCCCTCTATTTTTCCTAACCAGAATATACTGCAAGTTGCAGAGCTGTCTGGATGCTCGGGTTAAGGAGAGGCCACATTAGTTATAACCATCTCAGCTTCATAGTTCCTGTAAACTAATGAATGAATTCCCAAAGCACCTGATCACACCCAATAAAACCTCAGCAAATGACTACGAGCAGGTGACTGAGAGCCATAACTGAGCTTCGGTTTGGGGGATCCAAAGTTGCATTGCAACCAATTCACCAGGGTGTGTTCCTGCCAAGTTGCCTGGCAATTGCACAGGACTTCATGCTTCAGAAAGCTGCAATAGTAACATGATCTCCATCTATGCAGGCCACGGGGGGATTATTTTAAGAGCTGTCATCAAATGGTACAGTATCCACTGAAAGAAGGGATAGTAAAGCAGCTGTTAACACTAATACCTCAGTCTAAAGAGAATGAAAGGAAACATAAATGAACCACCATTTCGGATTCATCTGTTCACAAAAGTAATCCAGGATGGGCAAGTCTCGGTACACACGGAGAAAAGGTAAACAGTACTGCTTAATATTGCCTCACCACAGAACACACAAGCCAGCACTTTGCACTACAGATCTGTTCCTTTGTTCCCTAGAATAAGAATGTTCAGCAGAAGCAGGACAACAAAACAATTAAGCACAGACTATTCCCCACAGCCCCATTTCCAAAAGGCAGTCCGCATGATTCAGTTTCTCTCAAGACAGAATCTGGTCACTGCTATGTTGGCATTTGTGCTGCCATAAATACAATTCAGACCAGAACTAGTGAAAATTCTCAAAACATTCAGTTTGAAAATACTCTGATTTTAAGTGATCCTTAAAAAAAAGGATCCTCTCCTCGAAACAAGATACTTTACCTCAGTAGCTGTGCTTTGGTTGGCTCCATTTTCCAGGAGATATTTCACCACTTCAATATGATTCTCTTGAGCTGCCATATATAAAGGAGTGAAGCCATTCTGGAAAACACACAAGAAAAAAAAAGCATAATAAGGAAACAGAACATACTAACATTAACTATTTTCAATAAACAAACAGCCAAAATGCATTTATGCCGTTTTTAAAAATGAAATGATAAAGTAGAATAAATTAGCATTTTCTAATTTAGCGTGGTCATGTTTAATATCTTTTAAACTCACAGCACTATATCTGCTTTCACACTCATTCTCTTTTAGCATGCATTTTAAAGTGACGTTATTAATATAGTTCTTTTTCTCTGATAGATAACAGCTCAGGGAATGTAAAGCTGACAGTAAAGTTTGATGAAAGCTGACAGGAAAGCCAGAGCTTTCTCCATTTATTCCATTTACTTAACCAAGGACATAATTCCCTGAAGACTACAAAGTCCATACCTCAAGACATGTTGAGTAGATATGACACAGGTTTAACATACTACATAAAATTCTGCAATACATAATTCATTGCAAATCATTGCACATAAGGAAATCAACCTTACAAAATAGTGACGGCATTTCTGACCATATAGCAGAAGTTAGTCCAACATTTAACTATAAACATTATAAAGAATGTCCTAGAGTCCTCAAAATATTCTGCCCTGGATAAGGCAATAATTTAAAAAAAATCTTCCAGCTTAATCAAACTACAGGGAAATTATTAGAAATGTAAGCCCTTTCTTCCCTTTAAAATAATTTAAATGCAAACAATAGCTGCAAAATCCTTTTGAACAAAAGCCATGGAAGTGAGCTATCTATGATTAATAACTTGCTTCTGAATACTTTTAGGATTGTTGAAAAGGCCCTGGACACTTAACTACCTCTGTAAATTACAGTGTAATGTAAGATGATGTAACCATACAAATTTCTGGGAAAAACTTGTGTCCTTGAATGGCACTCTTAGCTAGAGCATAAGCCATAAACCAGACTTCAGTGATGCATTTCATGTTGCCTGATGCCACAGGCTTGTGCATTTACACCACCAATTTGCATTAATGAAAATATTGTGATGCAAAAGCCTTATTTCACAGGCGTCAACATTATTCTTTCTAGCAAAACGGCCATGGAAGCTTTTCAGTGATTTCCTATTGAAAATCTAAATTTTTCAGTTACTAGATAATACATATAAGTATTTTTACAATCATAAAATTGATATCTTCACAATTCCCCTCTGCACTTCCAAATGTGGATTGCTCAACTAATAGATACCATGCATTGGCTTTAGCAAGGCTTTTAATGCTGTGCTGCATAACATTCGAGCATTTCCAAGAACTATCTTGGGGACATATAATTAAAAAATTGCACCTATAGAATAGTCATCAGTGGTTGCCAAAATGGTTAAATGTATTTTGAGCAGAGCTGCACAAGGCTCTGCACCTTTGTCAGGTATTATTCAATATTCTCAGTAATGACTTGGATGATTGAACCGAGTGATCTTATTACTCTTAGAGACAGCATGAACAAGGCTGGTTTGCAAGTACACCACAAAATAGGATCATAATGTGAAAGGCTCCTATTACCGAGGAGAAATGGGCCACAATGTAATTCAGTAAGGACAAATGCCACTTTCTAGACTTTGTCAGGAATAACAAACTGTACAAAAAAGGAATAAGTAGTTAGAGAACAGGGTAGCAATGGTCTCCTGGAGGGATATCGGCTAGGGAGGTCATTCTGTTGCAATAAAAATGATGACTGCACAAGGATGTAAAAATAAAATATAACCCCACTTCTTCGAGAAAACATTGCAATCATCCATGTTGCTGAGCCTGGAGGAAAGAAAACTGAAGACAAACAAGACAACAATCTTCAAATACGTAGTAAGTGTCTCCAGAGAGACCGAGAATGATCAATTGTACATGTGATGACCCAGAAAAATAGCAAGGGGCGTAAGTGCTAACACCGGAGATTTTGGCTAGGCATCAAGGAAAGACTCTGCATAGTTAGCTAAATCTGCATCTTGTTTTGATGGGCCACCCCCCTGTCTCCAAATCACCGCCAAAACAAGGCACCAAGCTTGAAGCACACACTAGGCAAGGCAGCCAGCCTCTTCCATGGTCACTTTGGGGCTGGGAGTCGGGTAAATGTGGATTTAGGCTGTTCTTCTAGCTGCTCCCAAGACAACTGTTTAACAGGGGGGCAGTAGTTAAAGAGATTTCATCATAATGTAAGCGAAAAAAAAGGTTATAAGTAGGAAGGTGCAGAAGGAAAGAGGATGGGCTATCTGAGGGAGTGAGCTGACAGCAGGAATTACAAACAGATAGGTTTGTTTTCTGTTGCATTTAGAACAGCACAGAAAAAAAAAAAACTACAGGTAACAGAGCTGACTCACTATTTCAGTTTTCCTCCCCGTCCTGAAAAGAAACAAAGTGGCAACCTATTAGGTGTAACTATCAGTAACTTTCCACATCCTTGACTGGTATTTTAATACCGAAATCTAACAGTGTTTTTTAATGGCAATTGTGTGCCATTTGTAAAATCCTGCTAGTATTCAATATTATATGGCTGAAAACCAGTACAATGGACACTAATAGAAATGGGTGGAACATGAGAATTTTCAAGACAGAATAAATCAGTTTACTCCAAATCCTGAAATTTTTTAAAACCAACTCAATTCTCTAGTTCTGAAATAAAACCAGGTCAATAAATGCTGGATTAGAAGACCATAAGCTACACACATATGACTTTACGGACATTTAGTACCAGGATGTACTGAATGCATTTCCATACAATCCTGAGACTGATCCATCAAGTTTCCATCACATCAAGGAAACCCTCTTGGTGAGACATAATTATTAGGTGAAATTGTAGCAATTGTAGGTAGGGTAATTCTTGCATATAAAATCCTAGTCTTTTTTCTCTCCCTCAAGCTTTGTTTTAAGCTATCGTACCTCTTTTCCTAAAAGCTGGCTTATTTTAGAAATTGCCATAGCATGCTGATTTCTGTATGAAGAAATGCCTACGCCAAAAACACTGGAAAGTTCCCCTGAATCTCTCCTCTGGCAAGGTCAAGTTTGAGTTTTGCCCTGGCAGGGTGAGGTTCGCTTTCTCAGTGAGTAGCCGGTTTCAGAGATTTTAACTGACCTCAGCACTTCTGGCTCTTGGCCACAGACTCCTATTTTAGGATTCTCAATATCACAGCTCTCCTTGGCAGTGTGCTGGGCAGTGGGATGACCTGT